TATCCCATAGCTGAGGCTATATTGTGGTATGCAGGCTAAGTTCGTTTGCGTGGTGGTTAGTCCATGGGCGCTTCAGTTGCTATCTCTGCATACGACCTTAGTCCCGGCCCAAAGTTCACTGTCTTGGCGAGCGGGTCTGTGGCTCCATTCTCCTCTTCTTTGAAGGGTTGTTCCATCGCTGACTTTGAGGGAGTTGGGAAGGTCCAGATGTCAATTGAGGGGAGTACCAGTCATGTATGTGTGTTTCAGGAAGATTTAGTGCCCTGAGGAAAGGTTGGACATCAACGTGGGTGTTAATGGTGTGATTCACTCCTCCCTGCAAGACGATTAAGGCGAACGGGAATCCAAACCAGTATTTCAAGTTATGGTGGCTGAGCAGGTCAGTAACAGTTTTCAAGGCCCTTCTAGCCTGCAGCATGAGCCATGAGAGGTCAGAGTAAATCTGGATCGGGTCCCCATGAAACAGAATGGGTTGTGAGGTCGTCCTGAGAGCTTTCAGAATGCTATCTTTGACCGCAAAATAGTGAATACGACAAATGATGTCGCGAGGTGCTTCAGATGCCGAGCACCTGGGTCGCAGCGATCTGTGGGCGCTGTCAATTTTAATGTGAGTATCACTGGGGTTATCCAGGATGAGGTTAAAGGGACACTATAGTCACCAGAACAACTACAGCTCATTAAATTTGTTCTGGTGAGTAGAATCATTACCTTCAGGCTTTATGCTGTAAACACTGTCTTTTCAGAGAAAATGCAGTGTTTACATTACAGCCTAGTGATAACTTCACTGGCCACTCCTTAGATGGCCGATAGAGATCCTTACTGGGTCATGGCTGCCTAAAATGCATCCAAACATTCAGTATATCCTCCCTCTGCATGCAGACACTGAACTTTCCTCATAGAGATTCATTGATTCAATTAATCTCTATGAGGAGATGCTGATTGGCCAGGGCTGTGTTTGAATCATGCTGGCTCTGCCCCTGATCTCGAACCCCAAAGCATCCATCTTTGATAGTAAGGACGATCTCAGCTTTCCTAGCATATTGGCTAGGTCAGCTTTGGATGGAAGGTTCCTTAGTAGATCCCTAATGTCTGGATCTTGGGAGGCTATGGAGCACTTAGAGGGAGCTGGACTCGGTGGAGTGCAGTTCGTTTGGGAGGCCGCTGGGGCCATCTTGGGTCCAAATGATCTTTGAAGAACTTCGTTAGAGCGCCAGATTGTCCAGCAGGGCTATTGTAGGGGTGATTTAGATTTTTGGGGTTCCCAATTATTGCGGGATGTCTCCGATTAACGTGGGTGGGCCACTCAAGTTTGTGAGAGCTGAGTTAGTACACAGTCATTCAGCCCCGTGGTTCGGCCACTTTTTTATGTGCTCTTCCTTGCCCATTTAAAATGTCCTTGTCACCTTTGGTGAATACAAACAATTCACACAGTTCACCCTTTACTCTACCCCACTACAACCTTCAACACCCTTACCCATCATTATAAAATTTGTTTTAATCTGCTGTATCTGTATCTTGTGTTATGTATAATAAACTATACCGAATAGCGGTTCTATTTTAAATGGAATGCAGAATTTGATACATTTAGGCTTAAAAAACTAGAAAGCGTTCTCTACTTAACTATGTTTCCAAGTTGGCTATTTGGAATAACATAATGGGCTCATGTTTGTGTCATAGCTCATGGGCAAGTGATACAGATGCATTATCTATTCAGTATAAATGTCATGGCAGGGTCTGTTTAAAAAAGAAGTATCATAAAGGTAAGCAATAGTATTTGTAGCACTAGACACACTTGCGAAAGCACCTTTTTGTTATGGTGCTTAAACTGTCCCTTAAATAAATTTCCAAATGCAGATAAACTTATTGGTAAATTGCTTTTACAAACAACAAGTAAATGCCATGATGATTAGCCTCTTCTGGTCCATATTGTTTAACCTTGCTGCTTCTGACAGTCAAAGGATTAATATTTAATTTGCACTTATTCTTGCCTGAAATTTGCTATTGTTATTTCATGCTAAGTCAACCAGTGAAAGCTCATTTTAAACTGGCCAATTTGACAACTAAAAAAAAAATTGGGATATAAATAGATTTAATCTCCGATTTAATTTGGAGCACAAATGCTTGGATCTATGGTTTAATATACTGTAATACCAGTAAGGGGTCCCTTATTACAAATGCAGAAAATGAGTAGCATGATTAATTTTATTGAGTAGAAAAATAATCAAGTAGAGTAATTTCATGAAATCCATAGTTTTTTGTTAACTATATAAATTATCAGAAATTGCAGCTGCTTTACTGGAATATCATGTTTTTATTAACTGCAAAGCATTTAAATCGACATTGTCATGAAAGATATAACACAATCCCAATCCCTTATTGTATAGTTGCAAGCTGTGCATAAATGCTAGTAATAGATCACCTTACTAGATATAAAAGGCAAGCCATGTGTGACCTTCAGAACAGCACTACTTCAGTGATTCTCCTTAAACAATCAGAGTAAAAATACTGTAATACAGTAGCTGACCTCAACCCCAGTGAACACCTTGGGAAATTAAATGAAATGCTATTGGGGGCCAGACCACAAACACAATCAAAAATCTTGTGGAACTCCTTCTCAAAAGAGGGTGCAAAGGGTTGAGGCACTGCAAATTAGTGCCCATGATTTTGGAATTGGGTATCCAACAAGTTCATATTAGTTTGATGGTCAGGTGCCTATATACTTTTCCCATATGGTGTATTTCATTATTAAAAGGAGCTAAATGCAATTCTGAATAGGATGATGTGCATAAGGAAACTTATCTTCGAACAGTGATTACAAAATATTATTGCTTGCTTCAATGAAATATGCTTCCCCGTTGCTTGAACTACAAGGGGTTTGAGTTCATCAGGAATACTTACTCTGTGAGTGTACAGACCCCTAAGAAAGGATGGGCCTAAGACATGCAATTACACTAACAGAATGTATGCGTACCATTTTTTTCTTGTCTTGTCTTCTTAACCTAGCATTTTCTGTGTATCTCAGCAGTTTATATTGTGCAACTACCACCTTGTCTGCCTCGACCAAATGAATGGATAACGGTCAGTTAATTTTAAGATGTATTCTCAATATATATTGTTTATAATTTAATGATAAAGGGGGATTGTAAGCCGTAACATATTTTAATTTAAAAAAATTTCTAACTACTTGATTTTTTTGTAAAAAAGTGGGATTATGAGAAAATCTAAAATATATATAAATTAAACAGAATCAAACATTTGTACCACATGTATAACTTGCCTATAGATAACATTTTTGATAGGAAACGTATATATGTATTGAATTAATATTCTGAATTCTTATTGATAGTTGTGCCTTAATCAAGGCGGTGTGTAATACCATTAAGCTAATCCTGATGATAGTTTCTTGATATAAATATCACATAAACACAACACATTCTAGTTCACATACTAGTTCTTCTGAGGTCTTGTACTGTATATAGATAGATGATCTATGTACATTATCTTACATATTCAGGATACCTCATGCCTAATGAAATCTATAAAGTTTTATTTTGCAAAGAATATTCCTTTTACAAATGTATAGATACCCATCAGTGTATTCCCATTATAGACAGAGGACTGCTTTGACATACACACACTGTTGTATAATGCATTGACATAACAGTATTTTCTCTGATTGAGGTGCTGATATCAGTACCAAAGGTGTACGAGCAAAGATTTATGTATTCAAACTTTGTATGGAACATGTGAACTCTGAGGGCCGGATGGATTCGAGAGAAAGTTGTGAATTCGGAGAGTATGCCGAGCTTTAACCGAAAGGAGTCATTTGGTGGAAAGGACAAATTTGGAACTGCAAATTTGAACCTAAAGCTTAAATGCCAGTAATGGTCCCACCAAGTAATATGTAAGAGTTTCTATATTGTGTCTAAAGTGGTTTGTAATAAATGGTATAATGCTAGGATTTTTTTATGTTCTCGTGTTTCCAAAAGTTAACTGAAAAAGTGAAGATGGACGCAAGATTTTAATTAATATAAGACAAGTGTGAGTTTTCCAATATTAAATTGCACTTACATGCATAATTTATTTTCACAAAACACATATATTGGGGAGATTTGACTCCTTTTACAGTTTTTTTTTGATGTAGTAATTTTTTTTTTACTTTTTTTTGCTGTGGAGTGACCCAATATTTGTTTTAAATTAATTTCAAAAGACTGATTGTTTTATCTTTCATCAGAACCTTCAACTTCTTCTTTGTATGTGTTTTATTGACCTTTTTAGCTTACTGTGAGTGTATTGTGGGGATACACAAGGTGTTTTGTGTTTATTGTTTTATAGGTTTTACTAATGCAGAATGGCCATGGAATTTGAAACTGTGGGCCCAAACAGCTGAATTTGAAAAAAATCCTTTACCTCTTCTTCTTTTGCTGTTTTGGCCCAAAATGTGAAATTTCCTGGAATGTTCCATGTCATTTCTGATTTAGGAAGTAGCTCTTTCAATATATATTTGTGTAGAAAGATATTAGTTATAAAATGAATTTTATTAATGACACGGAGGCTCCTATTATGCTATCTCTTTCTTACTTTATTCCTCAGCAGCAAAGAGAAATATAAAACTGAAAGAGAAAAAAAATGTAGATATGCAATAAAATAATAACAGGTACAACCAGATCTGCCTAGTAACAGGGCAGCCAATCAGTCTCAAGGAACAGTCCATAAATCTCTATCCTTGTACTTCCACTTCCTCTTTCTTTGCTGCTGTCCTCAGACCAGCTAAGTATAATTTTTCTCCTACATTGTTTTGATTTATGGGTTTTTACTAAGGTTGTATTACCTGTGTTGTTTTTCTGTATTCATTTTCTGGTTGCTATTTGCATTTTATTTGCCTTATTGGCAGGTTTTATGCCTGTTTTATGTGATCTTGTGAACCTCCTTTGGTTTACTATTTCTGCCTCCCCTGCGTTTGCCCGCCGCTTCCCCTGCCTGTCTGGCCGTTCCCCCTTTCAGACAGGGTTCGCGGCTAGCAGGGGAGGTTCATTCTGCAGCCCCTGTGCTCCCCAGTTCCCTTTCCCTTCGCGGCCGCGTGTGCGGCCGCGCTCATCTGCCGACCCGATCCCCCGCTGGTGCGAGGGAGTGCCGGCCGCGTGTGTGGTCGCGCTCCCCGGCCATTGGCGGGGGAGGAGCCTGGAAACAGCCGCGGCGCGTTCTGTGCGTGGCGGCCATCTTCCCCTCGGGCTCCATGCGGCTGGGTCGGCTCCCCCTTTTACCTCTCCCATATTCTTTGCAAGTATTGTGTATATTTATTGTCTTTTCTTGGTGGGTTACTCAACCCTCTCCTGTGTAGGTTTATTATACTGTTCAGGTTAGTTTAGGTTTTCATTTTGCTCTGCTCCTGTGTATATAATTAAAGGGGCAGTACTTGCAGTTTCTATTTGACTCTGTTAATTATGCAGGCTAGGGGTGAGGGTTCTGGTAGTCCCAGTTACCCCATTATGGACTCCTCTCAGACCCCTACTACAGGGGATATGGGCCTTACTCCCTCCCAGGAGTTCCAGGCCCTTTTTGATTCCACCATGCAGAAGGCCCTGGCTTCAGCCATGGGGACAGTGTCCTCGTCCCTCTCTCACACTATTCAGCAAGCGCTGTCGCAACCTTTGGGCCCTGCCGTGTTGCCTGCTCCCCTGCCTGCGCTGCAGCCTCATACGGGTCGCAAGGCACAAACAAAATTTAAACATGTCTCTCCAGAGATGACGCAGGTGACACCTGCCTTGACTGACGTGCCTATGGCCGTCCCAGATGGCGCGTTTCCGCGCAAGAGAGCCGCTGGCCGGGCAAAATCGGCCAGAAAATGGAAACGGGCACGTGCCCGAGATGATGATGGATCGGATACCGATCAAACTGGAGAGTCAGACTCGGATCCCCCTGATTACGCCTCCTATGAGGAAGGGGTTTCCGGCGATGAGGCGGAGTTCGACGCTTCGGCGCTTCCTCCGGGTGAGGGGCAGGACATCTGTGATCCTCAGGGTTACCCCCTGTTCGATCCCGATGACCTTCGCCATCCCCGCTCGGCGGAATGGGACCCGCCCGCGCATATTGCCAATTACCTGGCGCTTCGTATGCGTACCCCCCTTTCCAAGGAGGGGCGCAGTAAACTGAGGGCCGAGTGCCCAAGGCCTTCGGTGCCTGATTCGGCGTGCAAGACGCCAGAGGTTGACCCCCAGATTTCTCAGTTCTTAACTAAGACGGGTTGGAAGCCCCGCAAAGGACTGGAATTTTCGCTGCATAATTGCCAAGACAAGATCTTGGATACCCTGGGCCCCGCCGCCAAGCTTTACGAGCTCCTAGAAGCGGCTAAGGCTGGAACGAAGCCTATTGATTTTGATGAAGCGATTGGGTGGGTCCAGAGGTTGATTTGCCTTCTCGGCAACGCGAACACAGCCATGTCGGCTGAACGCCGCAAGGCGATTCTGCTCAAAATTGAGCCCAAGTTAGTTAACCTGGCAGTGAAGGAGCCTGGTGCTTCGGCCAAGGGTATGCTCTTCGGAGAATGTTTTGTTAAGGACTTAGGCTCCTTTGTCCGTACCTTTACCGCGCTAGATAAGGCGCAGTCCAACCTGAAGAGGGTGTTCGGCCCTAAGGTTTCCCACGGGGCCGGGAGGTATAGGAGCCGTCCGCCCGGCCGTGGAGCTCGAGGTCCCACGAGGACTCACAGAGGTTCCTTTTCCGCCCCCCGGACCTACCAAGACTATAAGCCAACGCCCTTTTTTCCCTCACGGGGGAGACCATGGCAGAGTCGGGGAGGTCGTGGACAACCCTCATACAGACGCCCATACGGTGAGTACACCAACACGTGTATCTTGCAGAACGAGTGTGGGGGGCAGATTGGCACTGTTTCTCGATGTGTGGGGTATGATCACCACGGATGTTTGGGTTCTCAGTGCGGTCAGGGGTTTCCGCCTGGATTTATTGTCTCCCCCTGTCCAGACGTTTCTCCCACAGGAGCTGAAATTACCAGCAGAACAGGCCGGATTAATTACCGCAGAGATCGCGGAACTGTCTGCCAAACGAGCTATTCAAGAAATCCCCTACGGACACCCGGGATTTCTAAGCAACCTGTTTCTTGTCGCCAAGAAAGGCGGAGGCGTACGTCCAGTGATAAACCTCAAACACCTCAATTCTTTCCTACGTTACCATCACTTCAAGATGGAGGGCGCTCATTGTCTCAGGGACCTGCTCCGTCAGGGAGACTGGATGGTCAAACTAGACCTCAAAGATGCCTACTTGACTATACCCATGGCAGAAGAACATTGGGACTTATTGCATTTTACGTGGCAAGGTCGTCGATGGCGTTTTACATGTCTGCCGTTCGGTCTATCTTCAGCTCCGTGGTGCTTCACGAAAGTAATGAAGCCCGTGGTGGCCTTCCTCAGGGCACGAGGGGTCCGCATGATTATCTACCTGGACGACATACTGATTATGTCTTCATCCCCGAGCAACTTCTCAGGCACCTGAGATGGACGGTGAGTCTCCTGGAGAGACTAGGTTTCCTCGTCAACTGGGAAAAATCCATTGTGACCCCGGTACAAAGGATAGAGTTCCTGGGCTTCGAGGTCGATTCAGTCACCCAGTTTCTGTTCCTCCCGGAGGCAAAACTCCGATCGATGAAAAAGGAGATACGACGGGCGCTGCGAGCCACCTCTCTCTCCGTCCGGCAATTGGCGAGGGTGATCGGCCTGTTGGCCTCATCGATTCAGGCAATTTTTCCGGGCCCACTGCATTATCGAGCACTCCAACGTTTGAAAGGGTCCCATCTTCGCTCAGGGGGCTCGTACGAGAGCGTGTTGACCCTGGACGGGGACTCCAGAGACGAACTAAGGTGGTGGCTGGACCACATGGAGGCCTGGAACGGCCGGGCGATCTTCGGCTCCGCGCCGGATGTGATAATAGAGTCGGATGCAAGCCTGCATGGCTGGGGCGCTCGCTGTGGCGGTGTCTCCACCGGTGGAAGATGGTCAGAGATCGAATCGGCTCTGCACATAAACTGCCTGGAACTTCTGGCGGGTTCGTTTGCCATTCGAAGTCTATCTCCGACGCAGGGAAATTGCTGCGTCCTCCTACGTATGGACAATGTGTCCGCTGTCAGGTACATAAACCACCTCGGGGGGACAAAATCGAAGCAGTTGGCGAACTTGGCAAAGGATTTCTGGCAGTATTGCCTACACAATGCCGTATCGGTTACGGCCGAGCACATTCCGGGTCTGGACAACGAGTGGGCGGATTGGAACTCGCGCTACCTGAAGGATTCAGGAGACTGGCACTTGCTGTCCTCAACATTTCAAAGGATAGAACGGTTGTGGGGTCCACTTCACCTGGATTTGTTCGCGTCCAGATTGAACACCCAACTACCCCAGTACTTCAGTTGGAGACCGGACCCAGCGGCCACGGCAGTGGACGCGTTCTTGCAGACGTGGCCGCCGGGACGCCATTATGCGTTCCCACCGTTCAACCTGATATCCCGGACACTGGCGTACTCGGCCGGACAGAATTGCACGATAGTGATGGTAGCTCCGCTCTGGCACTCTCAACCGTGGTTTCCCCGCCTTCTGGAGATGGCCATAGATTTCCCACGGATAATCGAAATGAGGCCGGATGTGCTTCTGGATCCGGATGGGAAATTGCACGAATTGGTGGATCAGAACTTACTTCAACTGACGGCTTGGCTAATCTCGGGAGACCCTGGTGTGTCACGGACGTTTCGCAGACAACTGCTCGACTATTGGAGAATGCCTGGGCACCAGGTACCAGAGCGGCTTACAGGACCGCATGGCGCGTGTGGTCTGGCTGGTGCTTGGGAAGATTGCTGGATCCACTTTCTGCCCCTCTAAATGCGCTGCTTGATTTCCTGACGGAACGTTTCGATTCTGGTTTGGCTTATCGTACCCTTAATGTCTATAGATCAGCCATTTCGGCCGGACATCAAGGGATAGACGGATCTCCGATCGGACAACATCCTATCGTGTGCCGCTTGTTGAAAGGTATCCGTTTTGCTAGACCGCCAAGATCTAGATACTCATCGTTTTGGGACGTTAACGTCGTCCTTGGATTCTTGGACTCCTGGCCCTGTAATGAGGACTTGACACTCAAGCAGTTATCATGGAAACTGGTCATGCTCCTGTGTCTACTTTCGTGTAAGAGGGTGTCGGACGTCAGGGCTCTGGACTGGAACGTCTCGTTCACCCCCGGAGGTGTGTCGTTTAATATCTCGAGGAGGACTAAGTCGGCTTCCAAGTCGGTGGACTACCCTAGATGCTCCATCAGACCTGCTTTGTGTCCTGTGGCTTGTCTCCAGGTTTATTTGGATCGTACCCGGCTGCTGAGGTCAACTAACTTGCCTCCACTCTTTATCTCCTTGAAAGCACCGTTTCTACCGGTCTCGTCGCCGACGCTCGCCCGCTGGGTTAAAGATCTCCTTTCTGCTGCGGGTATCGACACTTCGGTTTTTTCGGCTCATTCAGTTAGGGGTGCCATGGCATCAAAGGCTTCTACGATAGGATGTCGCCTAGACGATATCTTGAAAGCGGCAGATTGGTCTAAGGAATCTACGTTCCGTGATTTTTACTTCCGCCCGATTGAACATGTTTCTTCATTGGTTGTGGCTCAGCTTTAAACTAGCATAATAGGAGCCTCCGTGTCATTAATAAAATTCCCAGATTTTACTATTTACATGACGTAAAGTCATGATTTTATTAATGACACGGAGGCGAGTATTATTCCCACCCACCCTCCCGTGGGTCTGGGTCTGGTTTTTCGCTTAGGGTTCAATCGGGGGGTTTGTCTTATCTCACGGTAAGTGCACATGTGTTACTTGTATTGAACATATGGTGTTTTAGAGTGTGACATATGTACATGGATTTGAGTATGATGCTCTCTATTTGCAGGTCACTTATATTCGATATGTTGCACTCAGTTCCTAAGTTTGGAGTTTACCACATATTTCTTTGTTTTACAGCTTGATTCCGGTCTGTTGATGTCTACCGGTTTGACGTTTCTTAGTTACTGCTTGGATATTTTGCTTTGGGTCTTCGGTTCAGAAGGCAAAGAAGAGGAAGTGGAAGTACAAGGATAGAGATTTATGGACTGTTCCTTGAGACTGATTGGCTGCCCTGTTACTAGGCAGATCTGGTTGTACCTGTTATTATTTTATTGCATATCTACATTTTTTTTCTCTTTCAGTTTTATATTTCTCTTTGCTGCTGAGGAATAAAGTAAGAAAGAG